GAGAGAGAGAGAGAGAGAGAGACTGTCAGAGGCGAGAGGAGGAAGGAAAAGGAGCCAAGCCAGGGATGACGCACGATTTGGACCAGTTGCTATCGGCCTCCAGCATCTGGGCCACCTTGGCGCGAGTCTCCGGATCGGAGCGCGGCACACCAGACAGCCCACCGAGTAGGATGTTCTGCAGGTAGAAGCCAGCCCCGCCGACGATGATCGGCGTGCCACCGCGCGCGACGATATCCTATTGCACGACACCGCAAGGGAAGGGGAACGCGAGGGCAGAGACGTTAGCAAGCGGCGGATACCCACCAGTGGGCTGGGCAGGCGATGGTCACTCGGCCAGACAGACACACATGCACACAGATACATGCAAAAACACACACACACACACACACACACGGAAACAGACAACAGGCAACAAGCCCCAACACCAAGAAGGGAAGAGACAAGAACACGCACCTCGATCGTTTGCAATGTCCGCTGGTAGTAGTCCGAGCTGTTCATGGTCTCGTTCGGGTCGACGAAGCCGAACAAGTGGTGCGGGACCTGCTCGAAGAACTCCGGCGGCGGGGTGGATGTGCCAATGTGCAGGCCGCTGTAGGCCTGGAAGACATCGGCCGACACGATTTCGCCGTTGGGGATGTGGCCGAACTTCACCAGATCCAGGGCCATTTGGGACTTGCCGATGCCAGTCGGCCCGGCCAGCACCAAGACCTTGGGCCCGGGCGGCTCGGCCGGCTGAGGCATGGAGAAGCCGGAAAATTCGCGATCTAGCCTCTTCAGAAAGTCCACAGTGGCGGTGTTTCCCAGCCGCGGCGAGGGGTTCTGCCGATCGGGCTTCACAAGGTTCTTCAGATCGCCCGACGGCTTGGGGGACCGCTGCCGGCGGGGCTTTTGCGCGGCCTCCTTCAGCTGGTGGGAGCCCGCCGCTCGATCAGCATACCAGCGCTGGGCCGCCAACGGCCCGGCCGGCCGGCAGACGACGGCGGCCGCCGTCACAGCCGCCGGCACAGTCCGCCGCAGCGAAGCCGCCACGCGCGGCAGAAGTGGGCCCAACCCGGAAAGTAGCATGTGGGGCCGGAAGAAAAAAAAGCCAGATGGGAAAGCCGATGCAGGCAAAGGGGGGAGGGGAAAGGGAGGAGAAAGAGGGGGAGGGAGGGAGGGAGGGAGGGAGGGAGAAAGGGAGGGTCTTGTGTGGCCAGCGAGGAGGGAGAGACACGCTCAGTGATCCTTGGCGATGGCCCCGCCAGCGGGATGCCTCCCGGAAAAGGCCCGGGCGATCGCGTCGCCACAAGGTTACCGCTCCTCCCGGAGAAAGGCGCCGCACGAGGCCACCCCCCCCCCCCCCCCCCCCCCCCCCCCCCCCCCCCCCCCCCCCCCCCCCCCCCCCCCCCCCCCCCCCCCCCCCCCCCCCCCCCCCCCCCCC